TGCAAGGTATTATCATGGCGATAGGTAAATCCAGGAGTGTGTATGACAGGTGTGGTCCTGAAGCAGGGTTCTTCAAGGTACTATTAACCTCTCATCTTTTAAAAAATGTAGTGTCTTACAGCATCTTATCTCTTTAAACTAATTTATGCTTTCCTGCCTGAACTATGACAACCTGGTGTTCTGGGAGCTGTTTGTGTGTAAGAACCTTTTCCTTTTTTAATGCAGATGACTCAAGAAACTCAGATTATTTTACCTGAGTTGCTACATTTTTTTAAAAAGATTATATATTTGTTTGTTTATTTATTTATTTATTTATTTATTTATTTATTTATTATGCACTTCTGTACTGAATGTATGCCTACATATCAGAAGAGGGCACCAGAGCTCATTACAGCAACCATGTGGTTGCTGGAAATTGAACTCAGTACCTTTGGAGTTCAGGAGCACTGTGCTCTTACCCGCTGAGCCATTACTCTAGCCTGAGTTACTACAATTTTAAGTAGAAAATTTTTAAGTGAAATGGCCTAAAGAAAGGATTCACAAAATGGCAATTTAAAATTGCTCCAATAATAAAAAACAAAATCAAAGAGATAAAAATTAAAGACAATCATAAAGGCCTGTTTGCTGTAACCATATGTACATGCTGGGGGCAAAGGGCCCTATGTAATTATTACTAATCACGTTTTATTTTCTTTGAAAGTCAGAGAGGTTTTTGTTTTTTTTTTGTTTGTTTGTTTGTTTGTTTGTTTTCACTGTTGTCTGTACCTATTAGAGTCGTTTTCTTGGGGTTTTGTGAGGTAAGTGAACCTTCATAGCATGGAACATTGTCTTTGTTAGGAGTGTCATTGCTTCACAGTAATTATCCCAAATTGATAGTATGCAGTCTCTAACCTTTACAAACCTTAATACTTGCGACCACTGCTGCACCTTTGTTTACTCTGTAACCTCTATTTAATTTCATTTATAAACATGCTCTAACGTACAGCAGCAGCAGGCTACAACCCAGGAGATCACCCCAAAATAAACAGCTGTCCATGGAAGCCACCCGTCAGGCCACAAAGCGCTCCTGAGGTGCTCTTGCACCACTTCCAGGCTCCTTTCTGTAGTCCCCTCTACCAAACTCAGCCATCCCCTCTGCTGTTAGGAACATTTTTCTCCTGGTTCTTTTCTGGGTTTACAACATGCTTAGAGTTTATGTCATTGACTGGACTTGTAGCTTGCAGTATACCATAGAGGCACAATGGTATTTCATCATAAAATGGTACCATCATTTTTGGTTCCATTCTACTCTTGATTGAAATTGGAATTTATAAGACTTAGCCCTGAACCCAGTGTACATACTTAGTAGTTATGGATTGAAATTCTTCCTGAATAAATCATGATTTTTAGTGGAGAATCAAACATTAATTAAATTGCAATTAATAAGAAGAAAAAGTGAATAAGGAGGGAATACATAAAGTAAAAGACAGCCCTGGTATCTAGAAGTCTTTTTAGAGAAAGTGACATTTAAATAACTAATGCATGCATAAAAATATGGACTATGAATAGTTTTCCTTGCCAGCTATTTCCCCTACTTAATTAAACTTACTCATATATTTATAATTTTTCCATTCCTAAACTTATTCACTATATTAATAACTTAAAGTAGGGTAATCCTTTGTTTCCTCATCTTGCTTGTATGTTTCAGTAGTTAACTTTCCCATAGCATGGTAGGATTTTTTATTGGGATTAACAAAATGTATTTAACATTTTCTTAGAGTACACCACACTTGTAAATGATGTGTCCAGCTGTGACACACTGAGGAGCCCATGGGCTCAGACACTCAGCATTCTTTTTCCTAAAATTTACTCCTGCTTTAGGTTCAGAAGTTGGCATAAGGTCTCCGTGAGCAGGTGCTGAGTTTTAAATCCAAGTTATCTCACCTAATTCTGCAACACTAGACAGTATGTTAAATATCACATATAGTGCCTTCTTTGAGATATCTTAAAATTAAATACATAATCTGTTTAGAAGGAATTCATTAGACAGTGTCTCAGCAATAGTTCAGTCGAAACTGTTGTTATCACTTGTGACTGACAGTTATGTTGCTCGATGTTCAGCTCACTTACGGGTGTGAACATTATCGTATTATTGAATACTTGTCACAAATATAGGAGAGCCGAAGTACTTGAAAACTTTTAGTGCTGTTAAATGATTGTCATATTTCTTTATTGATATTAATATTTAGCTTATGGACAGTTGTCCATCAAGAGAGCATTACAAAGTTCAATCCCTAACTAAAATGTGTTTGGTTTCTGCTGAGCCTCAGTATCTTTGTGGAAATATTTTGCCATTGGTATTTATGATAACTGTCTTCGTTCCTTTTTGTATTGTGGGAATTTTTTGTTCATATTAAGTAAGATATGATAATACATTCATCAACAGTTTGCCATTTGTATTGTGTGGTTTATATTTGTATTTTATACTTATTTGGTCTATGAAGTTTAATAAGCAGCTTTTCTCATAGATCTAAAAAGCCTTTTCTGTAATTATTGAAGTCATGAATTCTAATGCTTTTAACCTTGATATCAATTTTAGGATTTTAACTTTCTTTAAATAGAAAAATATTTAAAACTTCCAAAAATTTTGTCTAGCCAATCTTTGATTAAATTGAGTTCAAATGTCATCTATATCACATAGTAATTCTCCATGGTAGCTGGGACTGTTTGTGTCTCTATATTCTATTGCTGTATTTTTAAGCAATGAACATATTACCTCATGCACCATTAGTATATTTGATATCTTATGGAAAAACACTTGTTAATTTTTAATTTTTATAAATTAAATATTTGATGAAATTTTCTCAATTTTTAAGATTTTTAGAATCATTTTTAAATTAACTCTTAGGGAATCTGAATAATACTTGGATTATGTCCAAGTTTTAATTTAAGATGAAATTGGAAATTATGTTGTGATAGTTGGATTATTTTAAAAAAGAATGAGAGATGACTTTTCAATCAGTCATCCTTTGCTATGACTTTTAATAATGTTTCATAAGGTTGCTTGATAATTATGTTTTACACTGTTCTTAGATGCATAAGTGTGTTATTACAAAATGGTACAAGATAGGATGAACACAGATAATATATTTTTATATATTTACCATCTGAAAATCCTACATTTTAAAATAATTCTCAGTGTAATCTCTTGATTATGTCATTAAGCTGTTTCCCAGTAAATGTCTCATCTCTTCCATAATACCTGTTCATTTGATGTTATTTGATATAAAATATTTGGTTTTATAACGTTGATTATAAATGTTGGTACGTATTCTCAATGTTAGAATAATGGTAAAACATTGATTTGTTTAGTAACACATTATCAAGTATATAGTGAAAGGCTTTATTCCATGGTGTCTGTCGTTGGGCAACACTACATTGGATCTTTTTAAAGTCAGCCAGGGTTTATCACCTGACAACCACTGCCATGTGTCACACTATGAATGTGTGATGTTCTTACAGAATCTACAGTAATTATCTTAAAGTAATTCCCATTGCAGGCAACCAGGAAAATGAAAATTCTTAGGAACACAATAGAAAAGTAGGCTGAGGCAGTTTATCATGATAGCCTTACTGCAGTGGCGCGTGTCTGCCACCTGCTGGGTGACACAGCACAGCACAGCACATCTGTCCATTTCTGCCACAAGCTAGGAAAGTGTGGAGGGAGAGCACCGTGACCAGAGTCACCCAGGAAAGCGAGGCGGCTCAATGAGCAAATCAAGGAGAAAACCACGTAAAATACAAGGGTGTATAATGTTTGACATCTTTTCTAATGTTTAGTCTATATAGGTTGTTAAAATTACATGTGGCTCTCCTCACCAAATTTGAAAAATAAGCCTTTGAAAGAGATCATTGTGAAAAGTGTGTATGCTATTTAAACACACACTAACCCTGATTATCTTATATGTCAAAATACATTTTACTTTTATAGTGACTTTTAAGCATGCCAATAAGACTTGACATGTATATTTGGAGGGAAAAGTTATTTTTCCCCTTGGGAAAAATACTTTCTAATAATTTATATTGCTATAAAATTAATGTCTTCTTTTTGTAATGCTTTGTTAATGTAGAAGGGACTGACTAACCTTTTAAGTATTATGTAGCATAAATATTTCAAAAATATTTTTAATTAATTTCCTCTACAATATAGCAACATAGATTGGAGGATTATTTGAAATAGTTATGCCCAAAATGAAAGTGAAGGGAAGACACTAATAAGCCGGTTTAATTGAATGAATTTTTTTGTAATGTGTCTTGCATGCTACCCAAAGTATTTTATGTTTAGCAGAGATAGAATTTAGATACAAAAATAAAGGAATAGTTTGAAAGTATTTATTTTTAATCATGTGAACTTTGTGTAATTAATATAGCACCATTTGATATTTATAATTCTAGATCATCTAGGTTGTGCTCTTCTGCTGAAAGATATATTAATATTCTGTGTTTTAGTTCTCAATTTTGAAGTATTTTATGGTTAAAGAAAGAAGTGATACTTCACGTGTCATTGTTATTCTTATAGTAATACAATTGAAATACTGTCGATTTGAGGTGACGAGGACCTCACTGTGACTGCTGACGAAGTCGTTGTAGAAGTGGGACTCCCCTCAAGAGCCTTGCTTTCATGTGCAGGCCTGGGTACTCTAGGACTGCTTAACTGTTCCGGAACTTGTGTGTGTGACGTAGTGCTACAAGCGCACGTCTGTGGAGAACAGCATTGCTCTCTGTTCTCTGTGCAGAACAGACTCTCTATGGACGCCTCAAGCCAGATTAGACTCTGGCAGAAAATTCTGCATTTCACACTGTATTCATGTCTGTGTGTGGAATCAGAAAGGGCGTTTGTAAGATGATGGGATAGGGAAGGTCCTTTTTAGTTGGTTATTCAGAAAATTCTTTTAAATGATGGTCTCTTAAATGTACCAGCTTACTTACCCCCAAATATTTGCTCTTGTTTCATTCTCTAGGCAATTAAATTAGAGTACTCCCGGTTGGTCAGGCTGGCCCAGGAAGACACCCCACCAGAAACAGACCACCGTCTACATCACATCCTGGTCTACTTTATCCAGAACCAGGCCCCAAAGAAAATCATTGAGAAAACATTACTCGAGCAATTTGGAGACAGAAATTTGAGTTTTGATGAGAGGTAACATAAAAATATAAAACATCTACTTCATGTGTTCATACTTTTCTTATTCTGGTTTTGGTTTTGTTTTGCTAATCAAGTGTAGGTTTTTATGTGTGCACAAAAAATACAGTAAGTATTGCACAGTACTAATCTTCTAGTAATTTGAGTATTTGCTTTGCCATTTCTCTAAATTTTTTAGCTATGCCCTTTTAAAGTTTAAGCTAAAAGTAATTTGGGTAATTCAAATTACAAATAAAAAATAACTCTTGTATGGAAAAAAACGGTGTTTTTTTCAATGTCTATCTATATGTAGGGATTTTAGGTTAGACACCTTTGCTGTCGGGCTCTCCTGTGATTTATCAGCTAGAGCGATATCACTACCTGCAAGAGGCCAGTCCCTCAGATCAGAAAAATCTAAGCCTCTCCCATATATTCCCGGTGGGCAGGGAAGCTGGACAGTGAGCTTGCCTTTCTGTGACAATCCGTGGCAGGGGTGTCTGAACAGGCGTTGAAAAGTCTTTGATGAAAAGGAAGACATACAACAGTTAATTTTGTTCACCCACAAATATTTTTTTTCAGAATGTCCTCTGAAACTCGTTATTTTTTTCTTGTTAGTCTGAATTTCATTTGAAAAAACAACTTGAATCTAATACCTGAAGTATATATACTTTTTATTCTATTTTTGAGACACTATGTAACCACAGTTGGTATCTGGAACTCACTGTCAGTAGACCAGGCTCACCTCAAGGTCATGGAGGTGTACTTGAGTGCTGGGATTGAAAGTGTGCACCGCTGTATCTCACCATTTTAATTCTTGAAAAACTTATTTGTGTTTGTGTTTGTCGGTGGGCTGCGGGGTTGGGTTGGGGAAACATTTAATGCAGGTCCACCCTGGGCGCTGTGAGATGTGGCGATTGACCCTAATCAGGCTATCAAACCATTGAGCCATCTCGCTGGCACTTGTGGAGACTGCTTTTATATGTTTGATAGTTTGCTTCTATGCCACATACTTTTATGTTTTTTATGGATGTTGTTTTTTATTTGGAAATGTGCTTCTTACATTTGAAGGTGTCACAACATAATGAAAGTTGCCCAGGCCAAACTGGAAATGATCAAACCAGAAGAAGTGAACTTGGAGGAATATGAGGTAGTGGAAATACTGACCTCTAGTTGAAGCTGCCATACTTCATCAGTCTCAGCATTAAGAAGACTGGGTTTTGTTTTGTTTTGATAAGTGAAAGTTAAATTTTCAAGTTAATACCAATTTAGTGTTTTGATAAATAATTTTTAGATGAATTTGGTATAGTTGCTTATAGACCAAAATATTTTAATGTCTTTCTCCTATTCATTTGCTTACCATAATGTAGCCAAAAATTTTTTAATTTTTGGTAGAGCTTTCATTTAAATGAAAACTATATTGATTTTTTTAAAATTTTTGAACTAATTTTTATTAAAAAGAAAAACAAAAAAAAACTTTTTTTTTTTTTGTCCTGAATATCCATGCCTTACTACTATGCTTTTGTGGGGGGAGTAGGACTTTTTTTTCCCACCATATGTCAGGTGGAACACTCAATAACACATTTAAAATTCCTTCATATTTAATAATATTAAATAAGTGAACGATGACATTTTTATTTCCTTAAATTTCTCTAGCAAGCAACAGGTTCAGACTCTAGACTGTTATAATAATCAGTAGACTATTCCTGTCTGTAGTATTGTAATATTTTAAAAATTTATACTGAATAATGTTTTATGGGAAGAAAAAAATAACAGTTTTAATCACCCTGCCATTTTATTACTTTATATCCCGTATTCTTAATACTAAATGGCTGATAATTTTTTTATTATACCAAAGTAGTATGTGCTACCTAAATTATTTTAATTTTAATTTTTTTATTCCTCTTCATTTGCCAAGGTATAAGAACTGTGCATTTTTTTATATTCTTACCAAAGTTTTACACTTTTTATTTTTACTATTTTATATGCAGGAGTGGCATGCAGATTATAAGAAATTCAGAGAAACAACTATGTATCTCATAATTGGACTAGAAAATTTCCAGAGAGAAAGGTAAGACAGACTGTACAAATATGGAAAAATGTTTGTTCTTGTCATTAATTCTATTCAGTGATTGTCATATACATTTTAATGAGCATTTTAGCTTGAAACAATTTTATATTACACATTTAATCATAGTGAGATTGTATACTCTCCATATAAAAGATATATTTTCTTTTTTATTCTAAATCCAAAAAGTTGGCATTTGTATCTTTGTTTTTCTTGGTTTCTTTCTTTTTTTTTTTTTTTTTCATTTAGTTAAAATTTGTTCTTCAGTAGTTTCACACACATGCACATTACTTATTGACTGTGAAATCCACACCCACCCTCTCCATTCTCCTGGCCTGTCATCTCCGGTTTCTCCACACCAATTTTCTTGCAAGTATTCGTGAATATTCATTTTGTTTTGTGTCCCATTGAACTGAACAGGCCTGAGTTTAATCCTGGTTAATTGAGACAGTGAGTTTGGATGTGTCTATTGGAACATAGTGGACTATAGTTATAAATTTTGTATGAAATCCCTCCATAATATATGGGGAGCAAAAGAGCTGAGAGCCCAGCGCATAGAACTAGTTACATTTCCTAAAATCTGCCTGGGACATTAGTAGATATTATTTCCTTTCTCAAGTAACTTCAACTTACATCAAGGACAATCCTTATGTCGTCTTCTGAATCCCCAGGTACCATAAGATGAACATCTGGAACAGAAAAGTATTCAGTGATCGTGTTCTTCTCTAGTATACACAAGGCCTGAGATTTAATCCTATTGTTCATTCACCAAAAAATAAATAGACAGACAGATAGATAGATAGATAGATAGATAGATAGATAGATAGATAGATAGATAGATAAATGAAAGCAAGTTTGTCTGTGGAAATGTCTAAATAGTACACACATTTTAAACTGAAAATAAATTGTAATAATTTTGGCTTAATTAACTATAAAATTGTTATTCTCACTCTTTTCTTCTTTTAATTGAATATATATATTTAATACAATATGTTGTGATTATGGATTCTCCTTTCCCACATCCTCCACACTTTCCCATCCACCCAAATCCACACTGTTGCTTTCTTTTATTACAATATATCTTGCATCTAAAAGGAATAAGATAAAATAAGAACAAATTTGTATTCTACTATAATTGAGAAAATACTTATGTACTTGTCATTTTTGTTACTTGCTATTTTATATTAATTTCTTTCTATATTATTTAATTTCTATCTTACTATTAACTTACTTAACCTAGAGATTTTTTAAGACACTGCTTTGTTTTCAGTGCAGTCTCTTATTGCAGCCAAGCAAAATCACTATTGACTTATTTCTTTGTGTCATTAAAGTGTAGGAAATTTCCACTAAAGTAATGGTGTGTTTTTAATATCAAGTAGGCACTTATTTTTAGAATGTAGCTGTTCATCCTGGTACTACTATCCATGACTGGTAATTTAAATTTCTAGAATTACATAATTCAGCATCTTAGTAGCACTGGCCACATTCTTCAAGCCCCTTACTTTACACAGTAAAGTTCTTGCTGAGTGCCTATAACTTACCTAGCCATAGGTTCTTAGCCGAAAAGTGCTGCCAGTTATGGGTTTCATCTTGTACAAGTTTCATCTTGTAATTAAATCATATCAGAGAGAGGTTAGTTACTCCCATAACATTTGTGCCGCAATTTATCAAGTAGGCCTGTCTTGCCAGGCCAGTTGTAATTGTCCTGTTTTCATCAATAGGATATTGCCACCGAGTTTGGAAGTATAATCAAAGGCAGCCTCTAATGTTTGGGGATCTACAGAAACCTCAGTGGCCTACAATTCCAAAAGAAATTACCCATCCAAGTCACTTGGCTTTTTATTAATTCTCTTCTGGTTTCTAATAGATGCATTGTTGCACTGCAACAATGTGTAACTTTATTTTAAGATGTGTGAGGGTGTGCATGCGTGTATGAACATGTGTACATATGTGTGTTTGTACACATGTATGTGTGTATGATGTATGTATGTATGGAAGCTTGTGTAATATGCCGTGCCTCCTTATATCTTTTCAAAGGGGTTTGGTATTATATATCCTTCCCATACTTGCTTCTCTGTCCTACCCTCACTCTTCCATCCCAGTTTAACTCTTCCTAAGTTTCCAAATTGGAAATATGTTTTCCACTTTCCACACATCATCTCCTTTGGGCATTTTTCTTTTATGTTTGTCTCAGTGGCCAGAAGTTTGTCTATACATACAAAAACCTGACTTAAACGTAGTCAGTTCATGGGCCAAATGATACTTGTAAGTACAAAGTAAATAAAAATAATCTTTTCATGGAACATTATTGATGGTTGGCGTTCACATTAATCTTAAATTTTGTTCATAAGTGGAAAACATCAAACTCCCAATATATTAAAGACAACAGAAGGAACTATTGAATACCTGGACTGAGGCCTTTCTCCCATATTTTTGTATATCTTTTTTTTTTTTTTTTACTTTTAAGATATAACTCTCCTATCTTTATCTTTTGCTCTTGTTATAAAAGTGTGTTTGTGCTCATGATACATTGATTTTTTCATGTCATAGAGAATTGTAGATTGATTTAGAGTAATGAAATACTAATATTGTTTGTTTATTTTAAGTTATATAGACTCCTTGCTGTTCCTTATCTGTGCTTATCAGAATAACAAAGAGCTCTTGTCCAAGGGTCCATACAGAGGGCATGATGGAGAGTTGATATCACATTATAGAAGGGAGTGCTTACTGGTGAGTATAAATAGCATGTGTTTGCATTTCCCTTATGTTAGGCACATTTTTCAGATGCACACATAAGTAATGACTGTAAACACTGACGGGATAAAAATAATGATATGTGCATGAAAATGTGTTTTTAAATGAGAAAGGATAGCTTTCATTGTCTTTGTAGGTTTGATTATTATATTGCCACTTTCTTTTTTATTGTTCAAGGAGTTATGAACGATAGTCTATACAGTAAACACTTAGTTTTTAGGAAGTTATAAGTCATGCTCAACTTACCTTGCAGAACTCCATTGAACATGATGCCATTTGTTTGCAGTAGAAGACTGGTAGACTGTCTTCAAATATTTCAGTCTCTCTAAATTATTATTATGATGATGTTATATTTTAATTATTATAAATTTTTAAAAATTAGTTTGAAAACATTTTTCTCTATTTTTTTCCAACCTTACATATGTAGAGAGCTTCACTGATGCACACTAAATTAGCTACCCTTCCTGTATGAAATCATAATTTCTCCTAAAATTTATTTGATTACATCGAACTCACTACTCTCTCCTGGAGTTACTTCTATCCATACTGGAAACCATTAATTACTAATTTTTTTCATAGTTTAAAAACATGACGAAAATGTCTCTAGATATTATATGCATCAAGTATAAGAAAAGAACTCTTTTAAAATTTAATTGTTATTACAGTTCATTCACTTTTATCCCAGGTGTAGTCCACCTTCTCTCCCTTTTCTCCTTCCATGCCCCTCCCCAAATCTACTGATAGGGGTGTTCCTCCTCCCCTTCCATCTGACCTTAGCTAATCAGAACCTCTGCACAGATATAGCCCATGGAAGCTCAGTCTTCAAGTGGGTCTCCTAGTAACGGGAACAGGGGCTGTGTCTGACATGAACTTACTGGCCTGTTCTTTGATCACCTCCCCCTGAGGGGGTAACAGCATTACCAGGCCACAGAGGAAGAAAAGAACTTTTAAGTAGATATTTTGATGAAATGTTTTCTCTTAGAAATTAGAATTAGAGTTTTTTATCTTAGCCATTCTGATGGATGTAAAATGCAATCTTAAAGTAGTTTTTATTTTCATTTCCCTGATGACTAAGGACATTGATCATTTCTTTTTTTTCATTTTTTAAAAATTTATTTATATAAATTAGAGTTTATTAAATTTGTGTCCCCTCTGTAGTACCCTCCCTCATCTCCTCCCAATCCCACCTTCCCTCCTTCATCTCTTCCCATGTTCCTCCCCAAGTCCACTGATAAGGGAGGTGGTCCTCCCCTTCTATCTGACCCTAGCCTATCAGCTCTCATCAGGACTGTCTGCATTGTCTTCCTCTGTGGCTTGGTAAGGCAGCTTCCCCTTTAGGGGAGGTGATCAAAGAGCCAGACAATGAGTTCATGTCAGAGACATTCCCTGTTTCCCTTATTAGGGAACCCACTTGGAGACTGAGCTGCCATGGGCTACATTTGTAGAGGGGTTTTAGGTTATCATGCATGGTACTTGGTTGGAGTATCAGTCTCAGAAAAGATCCTTGTGCCCAGATTTCTTAGTTCGTTTGCTCTCCTTGTGGAGCTCCTGTCCCCTCCAAGTCTTGCAATCCCTCCTACTTCTTTCATAAGATTGCCTGCACTCTGCCCAAAGTTTGGCTATGAGTCTCAGCATCTGCTTTGATATCCTGCTGGGTAGAGTCTTTCAGAGGCCCTTTGTGGTAGGCTGTTCCCTGTTTGCACCCTCTTCCGATGTCCATCCTGTTTGCCTTCCTGCATGAGGATTGATCATCTTACCCAGGGTCCTCCTCTTTGCTTAGCTTCTTTTGGTGTACAGATTTTAGTATGTTTATCCTATATTTTATGTCTAATATCCACTTATCAGTGATTATATAGCACGTGTGTCTTTCTGCTTCACTCACTTAGGATGATCTTTTCTAGTTCTAGTCTTTTCTCACCATTTGCCTGCAAATTTCATGATATCCTTACTTTCAATTGCTGAGTAGTATTCAATTGTGTAAATGTACCACAATTTCTGTATCTGTTCCTTAGTAGAGGAACATCTGAGTTGTTTCCAGATTCTGGCTATAACAAATAAACCTGTTATGAACATGGTCAGGCAAATGTCCTTGTTGTATACTTGAGCATATTTTGGATATATGCCTAGCAGTGCTATAGCTGGATCTTGGGGTAGCAATATTCTTAATTTTCCATGAAAGCTCCAGATTGATTTCCAAAGTAGTTGTACAGTTTACATTCCCACCAGCTATGGAGGAGAATTCCCCTTTCTCCATATTCTTTCTATCATGTATTGTCATTGAGTTTTTTATTTTAACAATTCTGATGTGTTAAAAGGTGTGAAATCTCAGGGTCGTTTTGATTTGCATTTTTCTGATGACCAAGGACTTTGAGCATGTCTTTAAGTGTTTCTCCAACATTCAATATTCCTCTGTCGAGAATTCTATTTACCTCTGAACCACATTTTTTCGTTGGATTACTTTGTTTGCTGGTGTTTAATTTCTTGAGTTATTTACATATTCTGGATATTAGTCCTCTGTCAGATATAGGGTTGGTGAAGATCCTTTCCCAGTCTGTAGGCTGTCATTTTATTCTGACACTATTGTCCTTTGCTTTATAGAAGCATTTCAGTTTCACATGGTTCCATTTATTGATTGTTGCTCTTAGAACCTGTGCTTATGGTGTTCTGTTCAGGAAGTTGTCTCCTGTGCCAATGAGTTCCAGGCTCTTCCCCACTTTTTCTTCTAACAGGTTTAGTGTGTCTGGTTTTATGTTGAGGTCTTTGATTTACATGGACTGTAGTTTTGTGCAGGGTAATAAATATGGATCTATTTCCATTTTTCTACATGTAGACATCCAGTTAGACCAGCACCATTTGTTGAAGATGCTATCTTTTTTTCCATTGTATGGTTTTGGCTTCTTTGTCAAAAATCAAGTATCTATAGGTGTGTGGGTTTATTTCTGGGCAATTAAATTCCATTCATCCACTAGTCTGTTTCTTTCATTCTTTTTTTTTTTTGACATCCAGTTTTTATTTTTTAATTAATTTATTTTTTATTAATTACAGTTCATTCATTTTGTATCCCACCTGTACCCCCCCTCATATTCTCCCAGTCCCACCTTCCCTCCCTCTTCTCCACCCATGCCCCTCCCCCAGTCCACTGATAATGGGAGGTCCTCCTCTCCTTCCATCTGGCTCCAACATCTGTCACCCCATTGATGGCCAGGGTTGATTCTGCTGATCTGGCTGGCTAGGCATGTGTCCCCTTCCTCCCTCACTGCTCTCTGTGATTCCCTCCTGCAGCTGCATGCTGAGTGGAAGAGGAAAACCTTCCAGTAACAGAGGAGGACCAGGCTTTGGTCAAGGGTATATGAATAGCTAGCTGCACTCCCCTGCTAGAACCTCCAAACACCAGTCTGTTTCTATGCCAGTACCATGCAGGTTTTTTTTGTTTGTTTGTTTGTTTGTTTTTTGTTTTTGTTTTTTCTTACTGTTCTTGAGATCAGGGGTGGAGATACTTCCAGAAGATCTTTTTTACTTTATTACAATGTATTCTCTTATAGAAGATCTTTTATTGTACAGTATCGTTTTGGCAATTATGGGTTTTTTGTTTTCTCATATGAAGTTGAGAATTGTTCTTTCAAGGTCTGTAAAGGATTGTGTTGGCATTGAATTGCATTGAATCTGTAAATTGCTTTTGGTAGGATGGCCATTTTTACTATGTTAATTCTACCAATCCATGAGCATGGGAGATCTTTCCATCTTCTGATAGCTTCTTTTTTTTTTCAGAAACTTTAAGTTTTTTTCATAAAATCTTTCACATGCTTAGTTAGAGTTACACCAAGATACATTGTTTTTGTGGCTATTGTGAGGTTGAGTTTCTGTAATTTATTTCTCAGGCCATTTGTCATTTGTATACATGAGGGCTACTGATTTTTTTGAGGCTAAATATAATAAAATCTACAGACCTAAAGAAGATAAACAATAGGGAAGACCCTAGGGAGGATGCTTAATTCTCATTCATAAGGACAAAAGAAGACAAAGGAATAAACAACTGGTAGAGGGGAACAGAAAGGGAGCCTACCACAGATGTCCTCTGAAAGACTCCATAAAGCAGGGAATCGAAGCATATGGGGAGACGTGCAGCCAAACTTTGGGTAGAGTCCAGGGAGTCTTATGGAAGAAGGGAGGGATAGTAGAATCCAGAGGGGACAGGAGCTCCACAAGAAGACCAATATAGCCAAATGTCTGGACTCAGGGTTCCTCCAGAGACTGATGTATCAACCAAGGGATAGGACTTAGACCTCCTGCTCATATGTAGCCCATAGGCAATTCACTCTCCATGTAGGACTCCCTAGTAAGGGGAGCAGGGGCTGTCTCTGACATAAATGTGGTTGCCTGCTAATTGATCACTTCCCCCTGGCAGGGTGACCTAGCCAGCCCACAGAGGAAAAGAATCCAGGCAGTCCTGATGAGATCTCATAGGCCAGGATCAGACAGCAGGGGAGGAGAATACCACAGTTTTGGTGGATAAAAGGAGGAAGAGGAAAGGAGGGTAGGACCAGGAATGGATGAGGGAGAGGGCTACAATTGGGATACAAAGTGAATAAATTGTAAAAAATAATAAAATAAAATATAACTATTCAGTTTACAATAATTTTAATGTGAAGTGTTGTCTCATAGTTTTGAATGAGATTATTGGAAGATTGTCATTTTATTTTATGTTGTTTTCTGTTGTTATTGTTATGTTCATAGGTTTTCCCAAATATCATTACATTTGACTATTTGTTCTAATACTGTTTGAACATATGTATCATGTTGTCTTTTTATGACCATGAAGAGTTACCTCTTTTCTTAACTGTAAGATGAAGCAGAATGTGTTTTCTTCTCTCATTCCATTAAGAAATTAAATGAGCAAGCGGCAGAGCTGTTTGAGTCTGGAGAGGATGGAGAAGTAAACAACGGCTTGATTATCATGAATGAGTTTATTGTCCCTTTTTTGCCCCTTTTGCTGGTGGATGAAATGGAAGAGAAAGATATCCTTGCTGTGGAAGATATGAGGAATCGCTGGTGTTCATACCTAGGGCAAGAAATGGAATGTAAGTTCAGATAGTGCTATTAGGCACTGGGATGGGACAAAGCAGCAAAGATATTTTGGTTTGGGCATTGTTTTACATTCTATAGCACTTCAGGGTCTCACAGTAGCAGTTCTCCTTTACTGCAAAGGTGTGCACATTTCTGTTACGCACGAACAGAGCAAAACAAAACACCTTATATCACCCAAACATTTCAAAGTGAATCCTCTCCTATAACAAGCCTACCGTAGGCAGTCCTTTAATTATTTATTTGTGTTTAAATAAATCTAATTATTTGTATTTGCAGCAAACCTCCAAGAAAAGCTGACGGATTTTCTGCCAAAACTGCTTGATTGCTCTACAGAGCTCAAAGGTCTCCATCAGCCACCGAAATTACCGCCCTATTCTGCTCATGAACTCTGTGAGCGCTTCGCCCGAATCATGTTGACCCTCAGCCGTACTCCTGCTGACGGAAGATGAACCGCCCCGACTCACCACACTCATCCCAGAAACTCTTTTCTTACCCCGCCTTCCTGCCACGGGGTTTGCTTGCTGCTGCTAGAGTTTTTAACTTTTTATTTTAATAACTGCAAAAGACAAAATGACTATGCCGACCTTAGCCAGACTGCAAACAATAAACCTGAGAATCGCATGGCGCTCACACTTTGTTTTATCCGGAACCGATGTACAGTTTCAAATCAACTGATTTTCTTGTGGCAAAACTATGCTTTTGCTGCCTTTATTGCAGTATTGCCTCTCAGTTTTCTTCATCAACAGCTTTCCATTTAGTCTGGGACTTCCAAGACTAAGCCATTAAGCATTCAGCACTGTGTACGATACATAATATTTTGGTAGCTTGTAAATGAAATCAAAGAATAAAGTTTTATTTATGGCTACTATGTGTTTGTAAGCAGGTATATTGTATAATGGTGTGTATTGTAGTTATATAAGTGAAACTTATATATATATGACTAAACTCCATTTAGTCATGGAGTTGATAGTGGGTGTTTAATAGAATAATAGCCCTTTTGTGTTACTATAATGAAACTATTGGAATTGTACTAAGTATTTAGCACTTCAATGTATCTATATCAACTGAGTTCTTGGACCTAAACATGTTGTTAAAGTTTAGTCAGATTTCACTGAAGTGAGTGACTGAGTTTTAAGTCAAGCTGCACTGAAACTTTTAAACTTTTCTTAGATTAAATGTTTGTTTCTTTATGTATGTGTAAATAATATAACAAGGTGATTACTTCAAGAGAAATCCGAAAAAAGTACTTGAATAAGGGCTATTGTGAAATTTAAAAAAATAATGTGCACATATACACACATACAATGCACATACATGTATTCTTCATAATGGAGGGCAATGTTTTTCATTATATAAGTATTCTATTTTTGTAAATTATATACGACTTTAATTGAAATGTCCTCTACTAATCAATGCTGTGAAATGAAATTGATACTGTTCAACTAGGAATTATAAGAATCCTAACTTTTTATTTGCCTCCTTTTTTTTAAAAAAAAGGTAAAAAGATGTAGACTATTTTATAGATGGAACTACTGTTTTAAGATCAATGAAGTGATATTGTGAATGAAAATTTAGATTAATGCTTTAAAGGTAATCATGTTACCACCCATCTATTTTTGAATTTCTAAAAAATTCTTTATAACTGATACTTTGTTAGCATAGTAAAATATATCATTATGCTGTGTGGTATATGTTTGTTGTAGCGTCGTCAAACTAATAATTTCTACAAGTGCCTCTCACAAAAGGAACAAGGGCACTGGTTTTCAACCTTCCTAATCCTGCGACCCTTTCATACTGTTCCTATTTCGTGGTGAACCCCAGTCATAAATCATTTTGTTGCTACTTCCTAACTATAATTTTGCAACTGCTATGAACTGTAAATACCTGATATGCAGGATGTCTGCCATGTGACCCCCAAAGGCGTCACGACTCACAGGTTGCAAACGGCTGCACTAGAGGGAGCGAAAGCAGTCACTTCTGTGATGATTTTACAGAGGGAATTTTGTGTGCTGAGGCATCAAGGAGGAAGCATCGTGTAAAATTAGGCGTTGCATACTGTGAGCGTCAAAATGTGTCTGGGTTTAGAGTTGAAAACTCCCGAAACTCCACATGTTGTTGCAGTTTGGCTAGTTAGTTCACATGTTAGGATAGCCTGACAAAATGATGAACTTCTTTGCATGTAATTGCCTGCTAAGGTACAAAGCAGTGAGATACCATAGGAACGAGTCTGTCAAGAAGCACATCCAGGAAATCCTGTGCTTTGTATGTGGAAGGTAAGTAGTAGCATAGTTTGTACTTAGAAAGGAGTTCATGAGTCCATGAGACAGCTTAGTGCGTAGAGCGATTTGCCACCAAGCCTGGCTATCTGAGTTCAGTCCGAGGACCCATGTGATAGAAGGAGAGCACTGACTCCCACAGGTTGTACTCTGAACACACACAGACATGCTTGCACCAAAAAATAATAAATAAAATATAATTTTTAAAACAAGGCTATTGGTCCCTAGGATTGAATCTGAAATAACTTAGTTTGAACTTTACCTGTACTTGAACAATTAGCATGTTTTCCTTGGGCCACCCAATTCATTTTTAAGGCTTAGGTCATTAAAATTTCCTTATGATGTTTCTTAAGAATAACTTATAGCTTTTGATTGAACAGTCGGAGGCTCACAGAATTGTTGTGCACAGTAGGGTCAACATTCAATCATTGACATTTTCGTTACTGTAGTAGTCTCCTCTTACCTTTTGAAATACTAGGAGTAGAAGTCAGTTAAGGAAGAACCTAAAACTTCTTACATAGACATGGTTTAAAGGGACCAGAAGCCACGAGTGAACCTATGATATTCTGGCAGTGTCTCATTCTTTAATCCCAAATTAGCATACACTGTATTTAAGGGAACTGCTTCTCACGAGGTTGGCTCCAAATCAGTCTTAAGCATGCTAGGACTGAAATTATTGAGTACTAATTCATTAGTACAATTCAAATCCATCTGCTGCTCCATTCAAAAAGTTTTTACATGTGCTGGAGTTCATGAGCCACCCCATGTCATGAATCCCTGGTGACTTCTACTCTCTTTTGATTTTGTATTGAAATAATCTTATCTTCCTCACTCGTAGTTTCAAAGAAGTGACAGTCTTGTTGGTGTTTCACTTTAAATATTCCTGAGAATAATGGGGATTTTATCTGTATTTGGTTCTGCAGGAGTTCAGTACCTTTGTGCTCTATTTAAATTTGTTGACTTGCCTCTAGGTTCTGCACTTACCCCTCCCCCAACTTAAAAAAAAGAAAAGGTTGCTTTAGGGAGTGATTGGTTATTGTTATATTTTGTTTCCTTTTTACGTTGGTAGGTAAATGTCCTTTGCTATGGCCATGACCCACCTCCCTCCAGAGAGAGCATGTATATTGGTTCTCTGTGCTTTGTTCATGAAACAAAGCACTGAGGAAGTCTGTATTTACTCATACTTCCAGAAGCTACAAGTTCAAGACTAAGGAGTTGGCATGTTGGTGTCTGTGGAACACTGTCTCCTGTGTGTGAATTCCCACATTCTCTGCCCCAGCATGGCCTTTGCTTTGCACACACACACATTCAGCTTTCTCTGCTTTGTCCTTATGTTGGGTGCAAACCCCATCTTCATGGCCGTATGCAACTCCTTTCACCTCCATCAAGGCTTCATTTCCAAATACACACAGCGAAGCCTGGAACTCTGATATGGAGTTGGCAGGCCACATTTCAGCTCATATAGTATGAATGGCTGGGTGTTCTTTCTAAGTAAGGATAAGGTTGATAGAGTTTTCCTTTAGTCTACATTTTATTTCCTTGCCACTTTCACTTCATCTTAGGAATCTCTGTAGCAATCTTAGTCAGAAAAAGGTAATCTGGAACTCAGTTCAGTGTTTTCAGTAACATGTTTCTCTTGAATGAATGGAAACAGCATGTATTGATGGGTGTGGATACATTTTGTTAGTTTCATTTCACGTTCTACCTTTGATACACTTCCAGTAAGGGTAATATTTTTATTGTTATCTTTTTCATGTCCCTTTCCAATTCCCTAATGTTCTCCATACTGGTATGTTTTTTTTTGTTTTTGTTTGTTTGTTTGTTTGTTTTGTTTTGTTTTTTATGTTTGGGTTACTTCAGCACAGATATGTTATGATGACTTTTGTTTTTTAGTGTTGATGGTGGAGGACATCATTGGTTTTGCCAGTTGCAGTACCCATCTATTTTACAAATTCATTCCCAATTTTCCTCAAGCCAGTTGATCTCCCTGAGAGTGACTAATAATGAAGTAATGGAAATATCTTGGTTGAGAAGAGCTGCCGCTCCCTTCAGGAGGCAGAGGTAGCAGGCTCTGATTTCTGATGTCACCTTGTACTATGTAGAGAAAAGGTGTCTCAAAAAGAAGTACATTAATGAGTCACGACTGAGATTTTATGTGCAGTATAACACACACACACATCTACTGGTGCCAATATTTTAAATTTCCCAGTTGGGCTCTTCCCAGTGAACACTTCAGACCTTCATGCATGTCAGAGCTCTTATTCCATCAGCTTCTGTATCACAGACTAAAGCTATTCCTTTCCCTTGTATACAGATTTGAAGGAATTTTGGTCTCCTTTCAACTTTATACCTACCTGTAAATTTACAGTTAGTTTACCAGTATGGAGGTGGACATTTTGGGTAAATCAGTATTCTGAAAAGTGATATAAATCAAATATGTAGATGGACTTACACATCTGTTTTAATATATGCCCATTATTTCAAAGATATGCTTGATTGTCTGCAGAAGCAATTCAAGAGTCCCTCTTTGTTTCACCCCAGAGTATCTTTGTGTTTCTCTTTAACAAATAGTTACCTTTTTTTCTCTCTCTCTCTAATTACCTACAGTTTCTCCAATAGTGTTAACTTGCAAATCAAGAATGTCTGGCATATTTTTTTGTTGTTATTTAAGTCCTGTTGTCGTGTGTGTGTGTGTGTGTGCATGTTGAGACAGGCTTTCCTATTTAATAGGCCTACTCCTCTATATAGCCCAGGATATCCTTGTAGTCATGAATCCTCTTGTCCTCTGCTCCCTATCTTTGTATTCTTAAAATGCTTCTTAGGTGAGAACTGAAGTAATACACAGGATTAGATACTTATTCCTCTGTTTTTTGTTTGTTTGTTTTTGTTATCTAGTTGATTTTGGTCCTCCCCTGAGAAACTAGTTAATTAGCCAGTATGGGTGAGTTAGGTTTTTGCATTACTACCTTTCATTTCCAAGCTACCTTTCGGGTCAGAAGTGTTTGGTTGTCTCCAGGTAGAAATCATGCCCATTTTGTCATGTGTTCCACCTGAAGCTAAAGTTACATGGAGAGGTTTTCCAGTTCTTAATTTATTGACACCTCCATCAGATTTTTTTTTCATTTTGTTGATGGTGGTTGCTCTCATGCTGCTTTTCAAAGTCTGTGGCTTCCTGAAACATTTCTTCCATTTACTCTTTTCCTGTCTATATTCTTTATAATTCAAAAGTCAGTAATTTCTGACCGAAAAATCCTCTTAGACTGGTATTTTTCTATTGTCTGTCTTACCAGACTGGATATTTCAGACAAGATAGGTGTGTTCATGGTGGTAAAGCTGTAGACATTTCTGTTCATTTCAAAGGTATTTTAACCATTGCACATCCAAACTAAACTTCATGGTTTCATGGATCTGATTTTCTTATATGCCTTACAGATACAAATCTAGAAATGCAGTTTTAAAAATTCTATCAACCTCTACTAATGCCAAGTGTTGGTTACACAACTTTTGAATATCTCCTCACTATTGTAGATCATAGTCCTCTTAGCTCTCTCTGCCTTTGGACTATTGGGCTTGTCAAAGGGTAACCTCC